AAAGAGGGACAAAAGTGCATACGTTCTGGCCATGGGGCTGGGTGGGAGAGGACACAAAGACAGCAAGTAACATACCTGGGAGAACTGCCATGTCCAGGAATTTTTGAAAAGTATTTGCATGGCTGACCAGCTGAATTAAGAATGAACCCTGCTAGCCTCATGTGTCCAAGATAACAAACATCCACTTTACAGTTTCAACATATCCTGCCCACAGCATGGGAGCAGGGCGCCTCTGCTGAACGAACACGTATGCATGTGGCTGCAGGCGTGTCAGAAACCGAGCACAGCCTCTGAGCAATGCCGCCCACATCGCACCCGATTTCCTTCCTACTGCTACTACTGTTGCTACTTTCTGTTCTCCTGGTGTCCTTCCTAACCACTCCTCCATATGTCTTCTTAAATTTTCCACAATTTCACTGTTTCTCCTACATGCTTTTTTCTACCTTTTTTTTTTTTTTTGCTGAAAGAAAATGGAAAACATGCAAGACAAAGACCTTCAGTCCAAGGCAAGATGGTTTCGTTCTTCCTTCCAACTGCTATATTTGAAGCAAAAAACCCAGCTGACTCTCTGCTCAGAGGAATTCATTCTAATGAGCCCACGGTGCTTCAACAAATGGAGGGTTTGGAGTGATCTGACAATTCATTGCCCAAGAACCCAAGAAGAGAACTCACTAAATCAGTCAGCAAAGTGGTTCAGCGGTCATGTAACCTGGTGAGGAAAAAACAGAGCTTCGGATTTGTAATTACTTTCTAGAGAGAGAAAAAGTGGAACAAAGTACACCCTGATTCTTCTAGAAATAAACAGAGGAAGCCAAAGAGGAAGGACCCTCCTGCCAACTATAGGGGTCACCTCTTAATATTTTTTTCCTTTTGCCGAAAACCATCCACCTACTCAGGGTTTTTCTCCACAGCCTCAAGCAATTCTCCACCAGCACTCCTAAATTCTTCCATCCCCACCCCATCCCACCCCCTGCCCCATCCACCCCGGTCACTGTGCAGGGCAGCTCTGACTTCACCAATAGCATCTAAAGCATCCTAACAGCTTCCTGACCCATCTGGTAATTAGCCATTTCTTAAAGCTCACAGTTCCTCCCTTAGAATGATTCTCATCTCCAAGACACTAATGAATCAACTCAGGGCGAGACGTGGATAACAGGTTCGAATGTGAGACAGCTCCTATGGAATTGAATGTCAAAAGAAAGCCAGGCTCCTGGGGCATTTCCTGAGCAGAAACCCTGCCCTTGGAAAATATCAACAGCCCCTCACTGAACACACAGCCCCAGGGAAGCACTGTAGAAGCTGCTCATCAAACGGAAATCAGTGGATGCCTGGACAGGTGGTTCAGTGGGTTAGAATGTTGTCTCCAATACCCAGGTTCGGTCCCTGGTCAGGGTGCATATAAGAAGCAACCAATGAATGTATCAATAAGTGGAACAAGAAAATGTCTCTCTTTTTCTCTCAAATCAATAAAAAAATTTTAAGGCATTAAAATCAGTGGATGCCTGTGGCCCAGCAGCTAGAGCCTCAGCCAGGGCAAGTGAAAAAGAGAAGACGAGGCAGGAATCCTGGTGGGAAAAGAGGTTTCGATTGGGAAAGGCGGGGCCCTTGTTTCTCCGGTGTTGCTCTCCAGGTACAGAGCGTGGGTTCCTCTGCGGGGCTCTGTCTCCTCCCTGCTCAGTGTGAGTGTGCCCGTCTGTTCCTCCCTGCTCACACTCAGTGTGAGTGTGCCCGTCTGCTAGGATCACCACAGAGCTGATAGAGGGTCCAGCAGAAGTAGGGCCCTGCTGGTCAGTAGGGTAATGATATGGGTGCAATAATTGTTGCTATTCACACATGTCACCTAAAATGTCCTATAGTGTGCTTGAGTCTGATATTATGTTACAGAATTACATGCTTATGATTTTGAAACAAGAGTTTGTAATAAAAAAGGGGAGCTATTTGTGCCAGACCCTGTAGTTTTTTTTCTCCTACAGACAGGATGGCAACACCTAATCACTTCTGGAAAAGCCTAAATCGGTTCTTTCCTGAAGGAACAGAAGTGAAAGGAAGAGCCGACACCTAAGGAAGGCATGGGCATGTGCAGGAGCAGAGTGGGGGGCTGGGGTGTGCCAGCCAGCCTGGGACCCAGGAGGAGGCAGATGGTTGGTCCTGGGGCAGCATCTTTCTTTTCACCCCTTCCAACACTCCTACCTATGTCCCTTTCATTGAGGCCAGTGTCCTCACTGAGCCCCTGTGTGCCCAGCTACCATCTTCAGAGAGAATCACACAGGAATAAGCTCCTTGCCTTTTCAGAAAGGAAATGTCTTTGGTGAACTATTTCAAGGACTATGTAACCAAGTGCATGCTCCTCTTTCTCCACTCTCCATATCCCCCATTCTCCTCAGGGAAAACTAATCATGGGGCAAATATTTACCTCATTCTCTGTCACTCTCTCCCATTTCCTACCCCAATTCCCCAGCAAGACACTCTGCACATACTGCTCTTCAAAATAGCAAACAACGACCTGTAAAGTGTGAGAAAAGTGAGATGAGCATGGTAACCTGCACCCCCATGAGTCAGTGAGCAGCTCCCTTAAATGTGCACACTCACCCTGACATGCCTGGGAGGAAGTTTCCAGGAGATGCTGTATGCCTGAAATACCCCAAACTAAAAGATAAGTTCCCCCCGCCTGCCCAAGGTCACTCATGGAGTGTTCTAGATGGCTCTCTCATGCTGTCTCCCTCCCCAAACCCCGACACGGAGATGGGCATTGTCCCCTACTCAACAAGCACCAATATGATGGTTTCCAAAGCACTGATCAGGCACAACTGCAGCTGCTGAAGAGGTGCTGTGAACTGAATAAAATCAGAAGTTGAATTTGAGGGAGAAGCATTCCATATTTACATAATGGTCCAAGGGTTGAAATTCATCTCCATTCCCATAGTTACCTCTCTTTCCGGACTTCACAGAAAAAGTTCTCCCAGTGGCATCATCACTGAGCCATACACCTATGCACCCTAGTGCGGGGCAGGGAGATCAGTGGTGTAAGGAGGGGAGAAAACACCAGGAGGGACCATGACATCTCCAGGGTCAGAAGCCAGTGGAACCCAGGCCAAGGCCAGCATCCAAACACCATCAGTATCCTTCTAGGTGATGATGAATAAACTCAGTAGGAGGTAGCAAGGTCAGGGCAAGGGGCAACTCTCTCTGAGAGAGCAGAGAACAACATCTCAAAGAAAGGCTTGTGCAAATCAACCAGAAGGCCACAGCCAGAGTGGACAGTGGGATGATAAGAAGCCAGGACCACAGAACGTGAAAGGAGACAGCCATCTGGGGCTGAAGACAGAGATGGCAGGATGGTAAGGACCAGGTATATCTGCTTGCTCACAGGCAGTTCCTTTTCTGCATCCCAAGGTGAGCAAACAGAATTCTTTATCAGACAAGACCGGAAGAAGGGAACATCTTGTCCTTATTTTGCTATCCATCCCATCTGCCTTCTGCATTTGAGAACCTGCTCTGACCACAGATCATTTGTCACGATTCCTCCATCAGCTCCCAGAACTAGTCCAGTCAAAGCCTTACTACCTGAGAAACAGGATGGGCCTGGGATGGAGGGCAGTGGCCCCTTCCAGTGATGACAAATGAGGATTATCCACAGGACTCCTGGAAGCATCCTAATTCCAACACCTGAGCTTGTCAGTACTGAAGTACCCACACTTTGAAGACTTGACTCAATTAGACCCGCCAGGGAGTAGTATCATATTGTTTCCACATCCCAAGTATCAAAGGGGGAAAAATATGCCCAGAAATGTTTACTTGCCTCTCTTCATCAAGGTACAGGTGACTAACATCCACAGTAGTGAGAAAAGAAGGTTCTCAGGAGAAAAGGAGAGCAAGCAGAGTGCAGAGATGAGTTAAAGGTCTATGGCTTGGGGTGGGGGTGCTGCTACGTGAACTCAGAAGCAGGACTGGTCTGAGAGGTGGTCCTGGGTACTGGGGCAGTGCACACCTTGTGTGTCAGAAATGGAGGAATTCCCTAGGGCAGCGTTTGTTCCCTGAAAGGTCTCTGTTGAACCACGTCCAGCCATCCATCATCACAAGGGGACTGGAAGCAAAGCTAAGTCTACATCCCCTGGGTGCTTGGTTCCTTGAGTTGTAAGAAGAGGCCAGTTTCCTGTTCTCTGGGCTTTGGGGCAGGAAGCAGTGAGGGTGAAACACAAACTACCTACCATATTTTGAGCTCTCGGCATACATTTTGGTAGGCGGCAGCCCCCACCACCTCCCTAGTGTAAGGAGTGAAAGATGCCCAGCAGGTTAGCACAGCAAGAAGTGTTAATTCAGAGTTCTGCCTACAGGGTTTAAAAGAACAAGTCCTCCGGGCTCAGCACGGAAGATAAGCAGCCCACTCCACAGGATGTGTGGACACACCATCTGCCCTTGGTCAACATGGAAGGGATAAATCTTTATTCCTTCTTCCCCCAGGAGGCATCCTTTGAATAGTGCTCCCATTTCTAACACCATCCGGTTTACACTAAATCAGTTGGTACTCTCTTCAGTAAGGTTCCAACCATTGGCCAATTTCCTTGATTGAAGTCGATGCTACAGTTTAACTCAGAAAACCAAATGTACTAAGAGCCTCCACCAAAGTGCCCACATGCCCTAAAAACTAGTTTAACTCAGAAAACCAAATGTACTAAGAGCCTCCACCAAAGTGCCCACATGCCCTAAAAACTAAACCTTGGACCCCCATCCGGGAATACAGATTTTGTAAAATTCTTATACTCAAACGTCATGGACCGCACCAGTCCTTACTTTAGAAATCCCCCTACAACCCCAAGCATATGTTCCCAGTTCCGAAGAAATGGAGAGGAGGGTACAAGAGGCGCTGATTTACTGCATGTCAGAGAAGGGAGGGCGAGACTGAATTCAGAGTCGGGAGAGTCGTGGCGGCGCGGAGAGTGAAGGGGACAAGGCGGGAGTGTTGAGAGGGGTTCAGGCTACGGGAGCCTGGGGGCTCTCACCTGTGGATGTTCATCTCCCTCGGAGGGCGGTGGGCCTTGTCATAGGAGACCTTGGCGAAGACGCCGGCCACGATGACGAAGGCGATCACCCCGCAGGTGATGTAGACGGTGAAGTTGGTCTTGTCCTTCTCCGGGTCGTACTTGTTCTCGGGCCCCGGCGACACCACCTTGGTGCTGGGCGTCTGTACCCATACCGGGCTCTGGTAGTTGTTGCACTGGCGCTGGTCCAGCTTCTCGTGTCGCTTCTTGCAGCAGAAGCGGTAGTAGCAGGTGCCGCAGCAGTACAGGTAGCCGCTCTCGCTGTTGTTACACGCGAACTCCTTGTCGTACTGGCCGCTCACGTCGTAGTAGCCCCAGCACGTCTCATAGGTGACGGCCGCGCTGGCCGCCGCCACCGCCGCGGCGGACTGTGCCCGCCGGCTCCCCGCCTCCGGGACGCCGGACGCCCGGGCGGTGCCGTTCAGCTCGCGGCCGCCCCGGGCCAAGGCGCCCCCGGGACGCCGGCCCCCGACGGCAGCTGCGCCGGCGCTCAGGGTCCGGTTGGCGGCGCGGCCGCGGGCGGCGCGGGCGCCGGGCAGCAGATCCAGGGACTCCAGCGAAAGCAGCAGCAGCAGCAGCAGCAGCAGGCACCGCGGCGCCATGGCGGGGCCGGGCGGGAGGGCGCGGGTAAGCTTTCACGGCAGGCCGCTCCCCCGGCCGGCGGGCTCCGAGGGCGGCCGCGCGGGCCGGACCGGCAGCGTGGGGCTGTCAGTGGCACCGAGGAGAGGGCGCCATCGAGGCGCGAGCGGCGGCAGCGGCGACCGGGGCGCGCCGTGCGCACAGACCGGCCGGGCGCGGGCTGCTCTGCTCCTCTCACGCTGCGTGCCGGCTCTGCGCTCCCCCTGCGGGCTCGGCGCGCCTCCCGGGAAGCCCCATCCCCCGCCGGCGGCGGCACGGCCCGGCGCTCAGCTTGGCTCAGGCAGGACCCGAGGCGCAGCTCCGGGAGGCGGCGGCGGCGTGGTCCCGTCCGAGCGGGTCCTGCGGGACAAGAAAGGGAGCTGGTCACGGGGTGGGGCGACCGGCGCTCCGGAGGTGGGAGGAGAGCTGCGACCGGGGAGGGAGCGCGCAGTCCTCGAGGAGCGAGGCTCAGGGGCAGGAGGGGTGCAGAGCCCGCTCCCGAGACGGGGCCCCTCGGCCCGCGCGCTGGCCACCGAGGGCGCACGAGCCGCCCCACCAGCCGCTGCTCCGCCGCCGGAGCCCCAGACCGCCCGCCCCTCGGCGCGCTCCCGCCGCAGGCTGGCTCTCCGGGACGAAACCGGCTGCAGCTGGGGTCAGGTGGCGGGTTCGGGGAGCGCGGCTGCTGAACCTCACTCACTCACCATGCCGGGCTGTGACTGCAGAGGCGGCGAACAGGCGGGAGCGCAGCGACCGCAGCCAGTGAGTCGGGAGCCACGGGCTTGCCGCCTGCACTGGTGCTGGAGCGTATTCGAGAGGAGCGAAGGAGACACACGCACTCACACTCCCGCACACACGGGAGCGCCGCGAGCGGAGGGGAGAGGGGGAGGGTGGCCGCTCACTGCCGCCCACGTTTACACGCGCGGACGCCCGGGGAGTGAGAGGGGGAGCTCCTCTTTGCTTCTTACCCCTCGCGGTACTTGAAGATCCGCATCACCAAAGCCCAGGACACCCGTTAATCAACAAGGCGAACCAAGCAGGCAAAGAGGGAGCCGGGAGTAGGGCGGGAGTGCAGCCTTTGTGGCTGGCCCGCGGAGGACCAAACCTTCCGTGCCTGTGCCGGGTCCAGCCCCGGCGGCGAGTCCTGCCCTACCGGCCGCGCGCTGCCAGAGCGGGAGTTGGGGTTTCTACAAGCCTTTGCCACTCCCTAGCGGCGACGCTGGCTGAGGAGAGATGAGGTCAAACCCATTGCTACAGGTTCCTAAACTGAGGCCAAGGTTCCGGTGGCTTGTGTGAGTCGTGGAGATACCAGTGTGCAGGGCCTGCACTCTCTTCCCCTTGGGTACTCTGCTAACCGCCCCGCCTCTAGCATGCACTCAGGCACTAGACAGCCTTAGCACTGGGTGACCCCTCTTACTCACTGTTCCCAGGAGTACCCCCACCCAGCACTGAGCATTGGGGCAGAGTTAGAAAAGCTGTCTGAGCCACTAAGACTCTGGTAGCCAGAAGGGGTTGGAGTGAGGTGGGTTCTTCCTGTATGGTTGCTGATCTGGTCTGTGGAATGAGGCCCAGGTCTAACTCTCAACATTATGAGGCCATCCTAAGAGAGAGTCACAGTGATCCTCTTTGGGTGTGCCGTTGGAGAAGGTGAGGAAATAAGGACAATAAGTAGTGACCACTGTCCAGATCCTGCTTGCCTGGCCTTGTGTACGAGGTCCAGAGGGCTTAGGCTGAAGGCAGAGAGCAGATAAGTGAGAGTGTGGGGGTTAGAAATTGTTCTCAAGGCTGTCCATTCAGGACAGAGGGGTTTGTGACCCCAACCAAAGATTCTCCACCAGGGAAGGACAGAGGGTGTCTCCTGGGAACTGCACAGTGGATGAAGTGGAGCAAGAACGCAGATCCCAAGGCACAAGAAGGAGACATTAATCCTTCGCCGGGCAGTACACAAACCTGCACTTGCTGCTGTCTCTCCGTTCTCTCCTTCTCCCTCTGTACTCCCCCCCATTCCCTCGACTTCCTCTCAGCTGCCACCCTCTTCTTAATGGTTCTGTTCTAGAACCATGTATTTAGTGCCTTCTCTCCACCAAGCACTGTGGTCAGTGCTGAGATAATGGATGAAGAAGACAGTCCCTTTCTTCAAGGACGGGATAGATAAGGAAATGATCACCATATCGTGCTTATGTCCCATGATAAAGGTGGGCACAGTGTTCTGAGAGCACAGGTAACAGGTACCCCCTAGCCTTGGACAGGAAAGGTGGGAGTCAAAAGCAACATTCTTGAATTGGTGCTGAGCAGAATCTTGAAAAATGAGTAAGAGTTAATACATCAAACAAGAGTGGAAGGACACTTCTAGCAGAGGGGAACATCATTAGCAAAATCGGGAAGACATGAAGTAGTGAGGGCCTTGTGAGCAAGGGATAGAGCAGATTAGCATAAACTCTGATGGAGTCTTCCAAATAAAGCTGGCAGAAGGGCATTGATCCCCTGCCAAGGAACTTGAATTTATTCTACAGGAATTACTGGTGGGCTTTACTCAAGGGGAAGACACTGTCAAACTTACATGTTTGCTGGCTCTCTAAGTCAACAGGAATAAAGAAGACTGGATGGGAGAAGAGCAATAAGGAAGTTGCTCTGACAGCCCAGGTAAAAGTCTGTGAAGGGATGCAGCAAATTACTGGTAGTCGGTTCTCATCGTGCAAATGACAAGCATAGTCAAAAGAGTAGGTTCAGGACAGCGGTAGTGATGGACATGTTGAAATGGCTTTAAGAGCTCTAAGTGAAGCTATCTAGCACAAGGATTTCAAGCTTAAGAGAGCAAATAAGAAAAGCACATGTGTTTGGGAATCAATCATAATATTCTCTTGACCCTCATATTGTATGCAAGTTTTAAATTAGTCCCTGCCATGCCTCTTCCCAGAGCTTTCACCTCTTCATTATTCCAGAATTTCACACCTGCAAGCATCCTCACAGTGGGTAGAAGTGTGTCTTTGTCATGTGGGACTCTATCCAGATTTGATCAGTGGCAGTGAGTAAGGGAAATTGCTTTGGTTTCTCAGACCACCACCACCCACAAATATGTTCTGAAGCCCTGTGCTCACAAATAGTGGCATCAACAGACTCACACATAAGAGTGTCAAAGAGTTGGATAGGATTTTAAGGGTTATTTATTCCAACCCGTGCTGCAATACACTGTATTTCCTTTTTTTCAATTACAGATGACATTCAATATTATATTAGTTTTAGGTGTATAGCTTAGTGATTAGACATTTATATAACTCTTGATGTGATCTCTCGGATAAGTCTACTACCTGCCTGGCACTATACATAGTTGTTACAATACTGTTGACTATATTCCCTGTACTGTACTCTTCATCCCTGTAACTGTTTTGTAACTGGTAATTTGTACTTCTTGATCCCTTACTGACACTCCCAGCCCTCCTGGTTTGCCCCCTATATAGTAGCCCAGGTTGGTTGCCTGTCAACACCCATTTCTCTACTTTCTACTTCTAGTTTCAATACCTGAATTGTTGACAGTATGGAAACTGTCCTTCCTTTGTGGATTTGACTCATTAAAAAGTTCCAGGAAAGAATCATCTTTTTAAACACCTAAACCAACTTCAGACAGCCCTTAGACTCTGTAGAGAGTGACCCAATCCCTGGCTCCAGAAGATAGATTCTAGTTGGTCTGAGCCAACCATGATAATCTCATTCCCCTTGCCAATGATTGATTAAGAATGAACACGTGATTCATTTCTGTCCAATACAAAGCAAGGTAACTGCTGAGAGATTCTGGGGAGATTTTCCTTGCTCTCAAAACTAGTGGTGATTCCTCTATTTTTTTTTTGACTGTTGTTTCTCAGGATGTATGACCTTGAGATGGGGGAGGGAGTGGCAGAAACCAGTCATTAATGGAAACTGATAGTGAATGTGATAGTCCTTAGTCCTGCTCACTGTCTCTACCTTCCAGGCATATAGTAGAATTGCAATTCTACTGATTTGTGAGTAGAAGGGGAAAGTGACTTAGTACTAACTGGTCAGCAAACCATGAGTAGAAATGATGTGTGTTATTTCTGAACCAGAGCACCTAACTGCCACTTCAAGACACTTTAAAGTTCTCATTTTCTTCTGGCATAGTGATCTGCAATGCCCTCTGTGAAAGTGGCTTTGTCAGACTATAAATGATGACAGTGAGTAGATCCCACAGGTGGTTTTTTTTAAAGCCCACTGTGGACATGTAGTGTGAGTACCAATGAACTATTTATCCTTAAAGCCACTGGAATGGGCGTTTGTTACCACACCATATCCAACCCCATCCTGACTGATACACTGAAGATGGAAGATGGGAAAATGGAAAGAACATTTTTGAGCCACTCGTGGAACTATGCCCAGGGCTCTCCCAACTCTGCTCTTCCAGTAATGTGAAATAAAATGTCCATTTGTGGGCCCTGGCTGGGTAGCTCAGTTCATTGGAGTGTCATCCCAAACACCAAGGTTGCAGGTTTGATCCCTGCTCAGCACACATACAAGAATCAACCAATGTATACATAAATAAATGGAACAACAAATCTCTCTCTCCGTTCCTCTTTTGATCTAAAATCAATTTTTAAAAATGTACACTTGTGGAATCCTATTTGAATTCAGAGTTTCTCTTTGAAGTAGCCAAAGTCATCCTAATGGACACATATGTTTTCATCTCCATTCAAATTTGCTCTCCAGGTCTAGGGTTTCTGCCTAGCTATGCAAATTTGTATTACTCATATTTCCTGTATGGAATTTAGTTTTTCCTCTACGTGCATGGAGTGTTTTCCAACAAGCCATTTTTATTGCCTCTTCCTACTATGGCTCCATGCCCCACACGGTCTGGTCCTCCGCTGTCCTTCTGAGCTGCACCCAACTGCTCCCTTCTTACTCCCACCAGCCACACTGGTGTCCTCCCTGCTCCTCAAAGCCTTTGCATTTGTGGTCTGTCTGGACCCCCTTTAGGCTC